TCATTGGTGACGACGATCTCTCTGAAGCAGTAGAACAAGGAACCATTGTTGTTCACCTCATACACATCCCCGGTGGCCAGAGCTTTCTTGAAAGCTTCCTCCCCTCCCAGCTTGGCCACCATCAGTGCTCTGGGTTTGCCCTTCACCTTGTCCTTGCCACAAACCTTCTTGTAGAAGGTGCTCAGCTGCTGGAGCACGGCGGACTCGGTGTTCAGCTTGTACATCTGGCCGGCCTTGCCCCCGGATTTCTTCTCAACCGCACCATTGATGAGCTTCGTCTTGTCGGCCTCAGATGGTTGCACAGCAGGAGCCAAAGGCTACCTCAAGGATCAAAAGCCTATGGCAATTATAGCAGGAGCCAAAGGCTGCCTCTGACGGTGCCTCCTTTATAGGGCCAAAGCCTAGATATCAAAATGTGGCAAGGCACCCGTGACACTTTCTCAGAGAGAAACAACTTCTGGATATCGTCCGGCATGGTGCTCAAGTGCTTCGAGAACCACCATGCCTTGTTCTTGTCCCTGCTTTCCCCCTGCCCGGCAGGCGGCTGGGGCTCGCTGTTGCAAAGCTGCAGGTCGCCCAGCTTCGCCGCTTTCTCACGGTCCTGGTCCGAGCGAGACTTTTTCGCCTTGCTGCTTTCCTCCGGCGGGCTGCCCGGTCGCTTCTCCGTACCGTTGTCGGGGGGGTTCGGCTCTTCGACCGTGCTTCCCTTGCCCTTGGCCTTGGCTTTGGCCTTGGCTTTGGCCTTCGCCTTGGCCTTGGCTTGGGGCTTGGTGGCCTTGCTGTCGCTGTCGGCCTTCTCGTCCTGCTCGTGCTCCTGGCTCGACTCCTGCTGCTTCTCCTCCTTCGCCACGGCCTCGTCGCCCGCCTTCTCGTCCTCGCTGGACTTCTCGGACTTTGCCGCCTTGCCTTTGGCCTTTGCTTTAGGCTCCTCGGCGGCCTTGCTTTTGGCCTTCGCCTTTGCCTTGGCCTTGGCTTTGGCCTTGGCCTTGGCCTTGGCCTTGGCTTTGGCCTTGGCCTTGGCCTTGGGTGCAGCCTCAACCTCGCTAGCTTCAGGCTCTTGAGGCTCCGGGACTTCCTGAACTACCTCCACTTCTTGAGTGTCTTCTTGCTGAGTGTCGAGCTCTGGCTCACTACCCTTTCCACCGAAGAACACGTCCAAGGCACTCTGGCTCATGGCTTCAAGCGAGGGTGAAACACGTCTTGTCTTGAGCTCCAGGACTGCAGCACGGTATGCAGATGACAAGGGGCCTGGGCTGACATGGGAGCCTCTAGAGTGCTACAGTAATCCTCGGCCACGGTCAAACTCTAGCTTCAAGCTTCAGGAGCCCAAGGCTTCCTGTTCTAAACCCTCTGAGGAGCCTGAGGCTTCCTGTCCTAAACCTTCTGAGGAGCCTGAGGCTTCCTGCCCTATTGAAAAACTGCAAGAAGCTCGCAGGCGGGTTTAGGGTTTGGGGCTTTAGGGTTTAAGGGTTTAAGGTTTAGGGTGCATATAGTGCTCCTGTTATAATTGCTGCACCTCTACCACTTCAAGGAGCCTGAGGCTTCCTTCCTTAAGTCACTTACAGTACACAACACGGACACAAAACTTTTTTCTGCAAGAACCGATCGTGCATTATGCTCGCTGCATGGTCACACGGCTGGAGTTCCCCAGCTTTGCGAGGAACCCCATCCACCAGAGGAGCCCCATCCACCGCCGTTCTTGTCACCGTTCGAGCCATCTTTGGGATTCCAGGGGCCCCATGTCTGATCGTCTTCCTCTTCTTCATCGTCATCTTCCTCGTCATCCTGGCCCTTGGAGCCAGAAGCACCTGCAGGGGGGTTTACTTGCATGGGCAGGGACAACACTCTAAGGAGTTATCTACATATATATATATATAATATATAATATAATATATTATATATAATATACTTATAGGATATATACTTATAGGAAGGAGCCCGAGGCTGCCTGCTATTTATAATATATATATATATATATATACTTACAGGAGCCCAAGGCTGCCTGCTATTTATAACACACTGGCCTCCGTGCCGCTTGCTCCACCACTCAGCCCGCTTCTTGCCACGGGTTCCTCGCTTTAAGCGCCACCCCCCCGTGGTTGGACGTTTGCCCGTGTACAATGCCTCGGCTGTATGGATTAAATTTCGGCCTTAGGGTTGAGGGTTTAGGGGTTTAGGGTCTAGGGTCTCAAAATAAGCTAAGCTTCGCAGGCCGGGTTGACACATGTGCCGGACTGGTAGTAGCTCTGGGCATGGCAGACTTTGCACCATCGTAGGTCGAGGCGAGGTCCTGGAAGCAAGCATTACGATGCCACCAATATCCTGTAAAAAAGGAGCCGCTGGCTACCTGATTTATAAATCCTGTAAAAAAGGAGCCGCTGGCTACCTGATTAAACCATGTCCTGCACGAGCTTGTCCACCTGAAAACCCAGCAGCTTCTGGTCGACCTTCAGCTTGTGGACGTGGAGGTTCCTGCGGTGGGAGTGGAGCTTCTCGAGCTTGAGGTTCAACTTGAGGTGGTGGAGGTGGAGGTCGAGGTGAAGCTTGTGCTTGAGCTTGAAAGTGAACTTCACCTTGAGCTTGAAGTGGAACTTGAGGTGGAGCTTGAGGAACTTGAGGTGGAGCTTGAGGACCTTGAGGTGGAGCTTGAAGTGGACCTTGAGGTGGAGCTTGAAGTGGACCTTGTGGCCACGTGCAGCTGGGCCAGCCTAGCGGAGGAGGCCACGTGACTCCAGGCCATGCTTGAGGAAACTGCCAAGGGTAGCCTGGAGCCCAAGCATGTCCTTGAGGCCAGCTGAACGGCGGCGGCCCTTGCGGCGGTTGAGTATGCCACCCTTGCGGCGGCGGCCCTTGCGGCGGTTGAGTTTGCCACCCTTGCGGCGGCGGCCCTTGCGGCGGTGGTGGACTTTCAGGAACAGCTCGCCGCCACGGGGGAACTCCAGCACCTGCAGCAGGGATCTGGATCGATTACATGCCTTAGATTTTGCCGGGTCCAGCCTGGGCCTTGAGTCTGCTCCGGACCAGTTGCCCACGGGGAGCTTTGACAACCTGCAGGCCGGACCAGAGCTTAGGAGCCTGTGGCTGCCTGATCCATCCTACTTAAAAGCTGAAGGAGCCATGGGCTTCCTATATTAAGCCTTAGAACTTGTCGGGGTCGAGCCTGGGCCTTGAGTCTGCTCCGAGCCAGGTGCAGCCGTGGAGCTTTGACAACCTGCAGGCCGGACAGGAGCTTAGGAGCCATTGTCTTAGATTAAAAGATTTTGTCGGGATCGAGCCTGGGCTTTGAGTCTGCTCCGGGCCAGGTGCACCCGGTCTCCACGTGGAGCTTTGAGCACCTGCAGGCCGGACCGGAGCTTAGGAGCCTGTGGCTGCCTGATCTATACTTATAAAGCTGAAGGAGCCATTGGCTTCCTAAATTTTTGAAGTGGCGCCTGAGCTGGAGGCCGCCTGCTGCAGCAGTTGCTCCAAACGGGCTGCTGCCTCTTCTTCAGCCATGCAAAGCTCAGCTAGCCTCTCTGCTGCCTCGTGAGTTTTTTTGGCAGCCTCCTCGTGCATCTTCGTCTTCTGTTGAGCCCTTGCTAGAGCTTCTGCCTTCTTTTTCTCAGCTTCTTCGAGCTTCGCCCTCTGAGCCGCCTCAGCGGCAGCCTTGGCCCTCTCAGCCGCCTCAGCGGCAGCCTTGGCCCTCTCAGCCGCCTCAGCGGCAGCGGCTGCCTTCGCTTTCTCCGCCGCCTCATGGAGCTCCGCAGATTCCTCGAAGCTCAGGTCGATCACTTCCGCCTCCATCGGCATTGGCATTTCCGGACCTGCAGCACCAGTACCGGGGATCACTTCCGCCTGCACTGGCACTTCCGGACCTGCAGCACCAGCACCGGGGATCACTTCCGCCTGCACCGGCACTGGCACTTCCGGAGGGCCCTCCTCGTCCCCCTGCATCGGCTGGTTCGGGGCAGCACCAGCACCAGCTGCACCATCTTCAGGGGCCGTGCGAACGACTTCCCATCCATCGTCGACACGGCCCCACACGGCCACCAGCAGCACAAGAGCTGCCACCCTCATGGCTTCGAAGGGCACTAGCTTAAGAGCTTCGAGCACAAAAGCTGCAGATATATGCACATGCATTAAACAAGCACTCACACTCTACAGGCATGCAAACACTCTAGAGGAGCCTTGGGCTTCCTGTCGATCATTACTCTAGAGGAGCCTTCGGCTTCCTGTTCCTCTCGATCATTACTCTAGATCTAGCCTTCGGTTTCCTGTCTCGCTACGAATCCTAGCTCAACCTTAGGAGCCTTTGGCTTCCTGCTGACCCTTTCACATGCCAAGTGAAGGCACTGATGCAAGCAACTTATTGTGGCCTTGCAGCTCAATGCCAATACGATGGCATTTCAAGACATAGAAAATTAGTCTATTTTAGGATATTTACATATCCTATAATAGACTATTTAGGCTATTTATAAATAGCCTATATATCCTATAATAGGATAGTATATATCCTATCAATTAACAGCCTAAGAAGATTCTTTGGGTGGTTGGAGCCCACGCAAGACGAGATGAAAAGCACGCCACAACACCCTGAGCGCAACAATATCTACCCTTGTTCCACCTGTACAAGTATAACTTCAGAGCACAATACACCCTTTACCTCGTTTTCAAATTGGCAGTGCCACTATCACTCTACCCTAAAGGGACCCCAGATCAGAACAACACTGACTATTAAAACGGCATAAGTTTCAAGTGCGCTATACATGGGCTTGAAAGCACAATTTGCAGCGATTGGTGCAGCGGCTGCGAGATCGGGTTTTGAGGCTTGGTGATTTGGGATTCAAGGGCTTTTGTCTGGTTTAAGAGCCTGAAATGTTGGATTTTCGTCCTGAGCGACCCGCAAGACCCCGAATGATAGTTCATGAATGCGCAAGTATGGCAGCTGCTGACAGACAGGTACAACACTAAGCCTAAGAACAGCCATAGCAAGAACAACGTCGACAATACTCCTGCCAAAGGACAGTGAGCACTGGGAGGGCAGCACGACCGGTGCGAAGGACGAGCCAGTGGTGGGAGCCTCAACGTGGATTTCTTCGGTTTGGACAGGGGTTTAGACTTCAAGGTTGTTGTCTTCATGTGTTTGTGTGCATGTCTGACGTAGCTTTTCGAATTGTTGTCGTGCTCGCTGTAAGCCTTCAGGTTCAGACTTTTCGAGCTTCTTTCAGGCCGTAGTCCTGTATAGGTTCATGGTTTAGTAATCAGGGCTGTTTCGGTTTAAAGATTCACGCTTTAGTTTGTTCGGACTATCGATTTAAACTAAGGGTGTGGTGCGTAGCATCTGGGTTTTCCTGTTGGATGTGGGTCTGTAGGGTCCGGGCAGGTGGAAAGGCCTGTGTGCCTTTCAAGGCTCAGGTATTCAACCTGGTGGTGGAAAAGTTGCGCGAACAACGACAGGCAGCGGAGGTGGCTCAGGGGGCTGGCGTCTCAGGGCCGAACACGTTGTTGAGTCTGTCCAGGTTATAAGGAACCAGCGGAGGACATGGCCAAGGTCTGGTTTCCTGTGTTGTTGCGTAGGCCTACTTGGTCTGGAATGTTTGCGTGTCAGATGGTCCGGGCCTCTTCGTGCAACAGGCGGCTGGGAAGAAAAATGGTGTGTACCCCCCCTTTGGGCATGAGCCCGAGGAGATTCTTCCCTCGCGAATATCAACACAGAGTCATGGAAGATCTTTGACATGATCTAAACTCTATCAGGTCGTGGCTCGGGGGCAAGGGAGCTGGGGCTAGGAAGCGCGTGTGGTTTCTTTCGGGCTGCTGTTCTGCGTGTTCCTGTTCGCCTGCTGGATTGTTGGGATGAGATTTTGTACGGAGCAATCTTCGTGGCGATGTTTTTGTCCACTGTTCTTCATGTTTCCTGGTGTTGCTGACTATGGTGCTGGTGTCGCATCTGACTTTGTCGTTTTTGCGTTGATTCTGTCAAGTTTGTGTTTTTTTGTTGTGTCTTTTGTTGTGCCTTGCATTGATATGATTTTTCTGTTGTCGTGATTTCTATTGAACTGCTTGGTGGAGCCACAGCCTCCTTGCGCTGACAGTTTTGAGATCTGCTTACCTGCTGCATCTGATAGTGGGTGCATGGATGGGTCCACCTTCAGTCTGCATTAGGATTGCGATTCTTTCGGGGGGCTGCTGTTGTTAAAGGTCATATTTGTGACCTGGATCCAAAGGCCGGATGGCCTGCAGCAATCCTTTTCCAGGTTCGCGGTCCAAAGTGATGCCGGTGCATTGGGAGTCCAACCAGAATTCGCGTGCCAACAGCCGCCACGACGTGTCTTATGTCGCAAGATTTGTGCCTCCGTGGCGTGAGTGTTCCCTGTAATGACTCGGCCTGCTGGCGAAATGAATGCAGGCCAGGCTGCCCCCTGAAAAATGCAACTTTGGCTGTGGGTGGCTCCTGCTGTGGGTGCCACTGTTGCGGCGGGCGGCATGTAAGTGACTGGGCCCGGCCCGCCCACAGCAAAAAAACAACGCGCCACAGCGGTTACCCATAGTTAAATGTTTTGTTGCGCGTGCTTTGTTTTTGCTGCGGAGCACGTTTGATTTTCTTTGCAGGCACACGCCCGCACATCGGCAGGATAAAACACCTGCAAAACACACTCTTCTCGTAGCAGGAACAAGCTCGAGGGGACCAGACTCTTATGAAACCTTACCAGCCCGCCAAAAGCCTTAAGCCCTGACACCCGAAACCCTGAACCCCCCTCCAAACCCCTACTAAAGACAATTAACCGAGTCCCTGAAAAAGCAACTGCAGCCTGAACTCCGCTTCTGCGCGCGGCTGTTGCAAAAGAAAATAATATGAGCTACAGGCGTTTCTCTCCGTACATAGGATTAGTCTGCGGGCCTACCCGGGCATCAGTTTGTTTACGTTTACATTGCAGAACGATAAGGCGCCTGCCCAGAAGCGATAACCCTGGGATAACATCAAGAGGAGCGTGTCATCACGAAAGGTCAAGTTCTGCAAATTTTGCAGTTTGTTCAGATTGTGTCTAAATCGATAACGAAGCGATAACCCGCCAGGTCGGTTTGGTAGTCATATCCACCACATGCCCACATGGCTGGTTTTATGTGGGGATCTTCCAACTCCTACACAAGCCAGCGACTTGAAGCCCCAAGCCCTCGACCCGAGCCTTTCTGCAACCGGTGAGACACAAGTCAAAAACCACCTTACATAACCTTTCAGCCTCGACTCTGTTGCTTCAGGCCCAATATGTCTATCAGCTCGCTTTCAGATAGATAGCTGGAAATCCTGCAGAACGATAAGGTGCCCGCCCAAAAGCGATAACCCCACGTAAAGGTTGGGAAGGCGGTCTCATAGGTTTTGCCGCTGGCTCATATACACAGGGTCTGGTAACGGTTTTGTAGGGTTGTGAAATTCGGCATCCCGTTTTGGGGTCCCTTAGCATCTCACAAGGAGCCGATCATTGTCTGAAACCCCATTTTATCCCATATTGAGTCCTAAGCCCTGCAAGCCTACAAGTTCGAGATTTTAGGTATTCTATGCCCCAAAATCCTGACCCTGAAGCTTTAACCCAAAGCCCTGAAACAAAAACCGCAATCCCTATATGTCCTGAACCTCCAATGTTGCTTCGACCCCCTCCCTTCCTGAGGCATCCGACGGGGCAGAGGCCTCTTCACCGAAAGAGTTCGGGGCTCTGGACGTAAGGGCTACTTTGAAGTTTATGGATTCCCGTGCTTAACGTTTTGAGGTTTGGGGTTATGAATTAAGCCTTGGCTTGGGGTTGAGTTTCTGAAATCGTAGTGCCGAGTTTGATGAGTTCCGAGGCGCATTATTACTGTAGTTATTATTTGGATTTGCTTTTTCCTCTGTCTACCTAGGATTTAAGGGAGTTCCGGATGATCATTTTTTTCAAGCTGCCCGGCACCAACTTTGCAAGCATGAAGATCTACGCAATCGTGAACAATCCGCTTGCTGTGGAGATACCCTTGTTCAGCTCGGCACCAATCCCGTGTTGCCCGCTTCTTTGAAAGATTCCCCTGAATGGGAGGTTGCGGATATCACTGAGTTTCAGGTCATTCTCTCTTCACGTGTTTTTCCCAACGAAGGGGATTGGTCTGACTTCATTGCGGACTCCCGCAAGTCTGTTGTCCACAGAATTCGTCAGCTCGACGCTTTGCTGTCGCAGGATGCTGTTGAGTTCCGGGGTTGGAAGACAAGTTTGACGCCTCGACTCACTACGCCACCTTACGGGCCTTGCTCCGACGAGTTCCCGTGGCAGAGACCGCGCAGATCACACTCCGCTGGACCACTGTCCGCACAACAGCAAACTATGTTTTTGTTGTTGCCCCTTTAGTTTGACCAAAACACCCCTGCTCCAATTCTTTCGACATGCCGAAGCAGGAAGCTTAAGACTTTATTGATTGGGGTTTCAAGTTTAGCCTTGATTGTAAGCTCAACCCAAGTTTCCAGCTCTGGGCTTTATACAAAAACTTGGGAATTGCAGGTCCGGGCTTCAGGGTTCAATCATGATTGCTTTGGGTTTCATCTTTAGGACCTAGGGTCTTATTGTATATATATATATACAGATATGTATATACGTACAGATATAAGACATATGTATATATATATATATATATATAAAGATGTGTATACAGATATATATGTATATATATATATATATATGGTTGCATACTCATATTCAGATTAAAATTTAGTACGAAGATCTCATAGTCTAGACTTTAGAGTTCAGGTTGGGGTTCAGGATTTAGATGCCCCATATATACCGCCTTAACTGGTAAAATGTGGACAGCCTGTGATCCTAAATACACAGAAGCCCTACATCTGAAAGTCTAAGATGAGTCAATCCTACGCCCTAAACACCAACCCGACCCCAAAACCAAGCACCTGACACACCAAAACCCAAAACCCTTTTTCAACGCAGTATCTGCCTATCATGGATTTTTGCATTTTGGGTGTTTAACGGTGTCAGAGAGGTGTTGCCTGGAGTTTTGTGTGGTCTTTGAGAAAGGATCGTCCAATTTTTTTTGCAATAAATTGAGCAGAAAAAAAACACCTTCCACGGCAGAAGCGCTTCGGCTCGGGAGGCCGGCGGCAGCGGTGCGAAGTCCACGGGACTCAAAGGGTGCGTCTCGCTGAAGTTTGCGACGGAAATTTGGATTTATGGATTTAGATATAGTATTATAGGGTGTTTAGGACGTTAATGACTTACAGGGTTTAGGGTGTAGGGCACCAGGACTTTAGGGCTTTGGGGTTTTGGGAGTTTAAGATTTAGCGTTGAGGGTGTCGGATTTGGGCTGTCGGAGTTAGGACTTGGGTTTTAGGCTGTTAGAGTTTCGGGTTTGGCATTTAGGTTTATAGGGGTTGTGCTTTAGGGTCTACGACCTGGGGGGTGTCTCGGCATTGGGGTTTGAAGTCTCGGGAGTTGGAGTTCAGGGTTTGCCTGCCGCCACTTCCACGACTATCAGCTTGATCTGGGTGATGATCATGGGACCCAAGACTGAGATGGTGACGCCCACGACGATGATGACGCTGTTGGAATTTGAATTTTTGGTTTGTGGCATGATGCCTGGAGTAGGCTTACGATAGTCGCTGCCTCGTTTTCACATACTTTGACTTCGTCATGCTTGTATTTCGGGTGCACAAGCTGGGGGCTAAGATGATGCTGATGATGTTTGTGAGGGTCATCCACATGGAACAGTTCGCGTGGTGAGCACAGTGAAGAGGAATCTGATTTCGAATAAGACGAGTGAAGGATCCTGCTAGATAGGGGTGGTACACCTGGAGCCTGGAGCCTCAGAGTTCGGTGCCTCAAAGCCCTTGCGCCTGGGGGAGTTCGGTGCCAGGTCCTTGTCCGATCTCCTCGCTGCCGGCTTTGCAAGGGTCGAGTGCGAGGCGCAGACTGGTGAGGGGTAGTGAGGGGGGGGGGATGAGAAGCCTCGACTCGATGATGCCATTGATGATTTCGGTGATGTTGGTGAAGAAGAAGTCTAAGATGCTGGAGGTGGTGATGATAATGCTTTTGGCACTGGCACCGTGCCCCCAGTGGTGTCGTGATTATCGTGGTTGTGTTGCGGCTTCTGCCGCTGCTGCTGATGGTTCTGCTTGTCCTACTGCTGCTGCTGCTGCTGGTGCTGGTTTGTGGTGCTGGTTTGTGGTGCTGGTGCTGCTGCTGCCACCGGTGCTGCTGTTGCTGTTGCCTCTAATACCTGCCCACCGCACTACTACTGCTGTCACCCGTGGTGGTCATGTCGGCATGAGGCGTTAGATACTCAAAACCATGTGTGCGTGCGTGCGAGCTTATAGAATTAGTGAATAAATAATTGGGCGGATTCGATGCGTGGGTCTGGGAATTGTCGGTAGGATCCCTGGCTTCAGACAACTTCAGGAAGTCCCTGACGACCCTCATCGCTTACCTCCAGCAGCCCGCAGCGAAGCCGTGGTCGAGCCACACCGTATGGGCCCGACCGGCCTGCGACAGTCGATGATTTAATGCTCTGCAAGGTTACCTACCGCTGCCTGAGCACACCGAGATGCTAATTAAAGGCCGTCTGATATGCAGTGGGGGCCTTCGTTGCATGGATCGCTCGACGGTGTGTTTGACAGCGCCTGCCTCGCCTTGTCCCCCAGGCGTTTTTTGAGGACTACGCGGGTTTTTGTGGCCTTAACCCCTGAACCCGGGACCCCAATTAAGCCCCAAAAACCCCTTAAAGCCAAGCCCCTAAACATAAAAAGTCCCCCTAAACCCTTAAACCGAAAACTCCTCAGTCCTAAGCTCCTCCACCCCTAAGCTCCAAATCTCTGTGCGAACCCTAAATCCCTGTGTAAGCCTTCAGCCCTTTTCTATATGTGTATACAAATATTAATTTGTATTTTATTTGTTTATATGAATGTAAATCTTTTCATTCGTAATCATATATACGCACACAATCAACCCCGAACCCCTGAACCTCTCAGACCCAAACTCCTGAACCCTGAAACCCGCAAACCACTAAACCCGAGAACGCACAAACGCTTGCAAACCCAGAGCTCCGAAAACATGTCTATCTGCAAGGATGAATGTATTTCTTTTCAAAGGTGTCGGTGGAGGGTTAGGGGTTTGCGTGATGCTGAAGTATATGGCGGGTTCTCAAGATCCGGGGTTCCCGTTCAGGTTTTTATGATACGAACTGCGTCTGTTCTGGGGTCGCTTATTATTTTTCGGAAACAACCAAGTTGTATCACGTTGTTTGGAGTCTGTGATCAATCAATCGAGCATCCCGATGCATTCCGTATCAACCTGCCAAAATGTTTTATAGGAGACCAGAAGCTCAAAATATAAAACTTAAAACCTACACCTCAAGCCCCTAACCCCTAAACCCAAAATGAAACGAATCCGTCAGCCCCTGGATCTTTCGGCGGCGCGCGAGCGCTTCGCGCGGGCCGACAAGGCCTGGGCAAGAGTCGATTTTCGCTTTGCTTTTTGTCGGTGGCGGTTTTAGGGTTTAAGGTTGTTTTGGGGGGTGTTACGCGTTTAATATAGGAACCAAACCTCGGGTCTTTGTTAGGGTTCTTTACATGAATCCCAATATTTTGCCGAAGAGGGCCAGGGTTTCTTAATCAGGTTCCTTCATCAGCGTTTGCGTATGGAAGGGTTTGCAATCGGGGTTGTAAATTATTCTACCCTTTATGCGTGCGTTATGGGGCGGGGACTCGCCGGAGCCGCGAATCCGCCAATTAGTGGATACGGGCGGTTGTGAGGATTTTAGCGTGGAGGGGCTTCGTTTGGGACTTGAGTAGTAACACTTGGCTTGGGGCGTTCATTAAGGGGTTTAGGGTCGAGGGCCTCAACGTTTAGAGATGAGGTTTAGGCGGCTTAGGGTTCACCAGAGGGGGAACCCCCTTTTCGTTCGATTCTTTCAAGGGTCCTGTGTTTGAACGCAAGATGGTTCTGAAGCCATTGCCGGAAAGAAAGAGTGTTTCAGGCCTTAAGCCGTCAACGCCATCCGTCCCTCTGCGAATGTTCAAAACGTATTGGGTCTCAAGGGCCAGATTTACGTGTGCAGATGGCTCCCAGCTCAATTACTCACCCTTCAGTTTCTTTCAGAGCGGCTTTTAGCCCAAACAGGCCCCAGTCCACCACTTTCACTGTTACCGCAATATGCAAGTTGGTCGTGCTGGGTTCGAATCATCCGACACTCAAGAGTTTAAGCTTTGGGGAGCGAAGGGTTTAGCGTGCAGGGCCTGTTTCGAGATGCGTGTCCTGTGCCAGGGCTCCGTGCCCCTGATGCTGGAAGGCCTCGTGGAGAAAGCTTCGTTCATTAATTACGATTGATTTGCCGATCTTTTGGTACAGCGTCAGGGTTTCGGGTTTGCAATCGGGTTGTCAGCTCTTAGATTCGAGGGTCAAAGCAGATCATGGTTCTAAGGGACGAAGCACTTTCGGCTTTCGGCGGAACAAGTTCTGAGAGGACGCTTGGCTCGAACTTGACCACATCGGGCAACATACGCCGAACCTCTCTGCGAACTCGAGCGACCAAGCGCAAACCTCAAGGCTAGACCCAGTAAGGTTTGCACGTTCAGCTTCGAATCGCGATGTAGTTGTCAAGGTCCCATGGTTTTTAGCTGGAAGTTCCAAAAAACGTGATATTGCATGCCAAATAAACTCGGAGCACGTAATCTTGTGAAACCCTCGATACCGCCAAACTCCCTGAATTCTAGGGCGTGGGCTGTAGGCAACACAACAACATGAGGTCTCACGAATTAATTTGTTACAAATCGCCTGACCCGTGTCCTATCTGTTACTGTTGCGGGCCATACACTACCTGGTTCCTGAGGCTCACTAGCGAGTCGCAAAAGGGTTTCTACGCATAGCTTCTTAAGGTTTGGGAGTTCCCTCAAAAGATGGGACGGTATGGCGAGTGCATGACATTGAAAGACTGCACCGTGTCCAGTTTTTGCCAAAGCCAATGCGTATGCGGGTGGGCGCGATCCTTCTGAAAGCCCGTTACAGACCTTTGAGCACGAAGCTTCTCGAGTTGTTCTCTTCAACCGCAAGCCGCCTGCCTTCTGGCTTGAGCAGGCCGTCCGGAGCCTCCCGCGCGGAGGTGGATCTCGGGGGTTGGGGGTGGAGATCAAGAGCCTGCCAAACCATGTCCGTCCAAACACCGATGACAGCTTGGTTTGTGGTTCGGGTCTGTATAAGGGATTAGATCTGAGTTTGATGCAGAGCCTGCCTCCCTTAAGCTTAGCTGCATCGTCCCAGGTTGCGGACCCCAGAGGTTTCGGGATCGATAAGCCACAGGGCTGTTACTCTTAAAGTCTTAACAGCCTTGAGAAGGATGCAAAGATTTTGGAGTTGAGCTCGTATGGTTTTGAATACAGGCTCTTGGAGCTCAACGCATACGGCGACGGTTTCGGGTCTGTGGCATGTGGCAGCAAAGATCCGGATGTCAGCCTAGCGGACAAGCGCCGGTGATTGGAGCACGTCAGAGATGTCACTGGAGCATCTTACACCGGAACATCAAGACGGTACACCGCACCCAGCGCGGTGTGTGTCAAGCCGGGCAGGTACCTGCCGGGACATTTCCACAGGAAGGTCCTTGAGGACCTCGGCCACTCGAGTGACGAAGTTCGCCGGTGCTTCATCAGGGAAAGCGCGGCGGGAGCGGACTGGGTTCTGGCGCAAAGGGCTCCTGCCACGACGCAGGTCTCGCTCCGAAGAGATGAGAAGTCTGATGATCCGCTCAGAGGTTGTGTCACGATTCGCGGAAGCTGCTGCCGATGCCATCATGTTTCTTAAAACCAGCGATGCAAAGCTAAGGACCCTATATGAACCCTGAATCCTCCTCAATCCTATCCCAGACTTGTCACCTTCCGATGTTGTTTGGCACCTCGTCCTGGATACGAATAAGTCCGTGGAGGCATGGGAGATGCTACCCAAACCCTAAAACGCCACACCCTAGAGCATTGTATGCAGCAGTCAGGAAGGACACTTCCTCCGAATTGTTATCCGCACCTAGCTCTGCAAACCGACCACGGAGGATCGATATAAGCCGAGCTTTGAACTAAAGATCTTAAACGCCTTAAGACCTGAACCGTAAGCTAAACTTGATTAGGCCAGGCCTGCAATATAAAGTTGCCGGATTTGTTCGTAGTTTTCTTGTTTTGTGGTGTTTTCGGCCACTGAGCTCGAGAGGTTGCAGCGGCTGAAGATTGAAGTTTCTACCCTGGCTGCGTGGGTCATGCCCTCAGCTTTCAGGGTCAGGGTTAATTAGGGTTCAGGGTCTTGGGGTTCAGGGTCGGGGTTAACGGTTTGGCGCTCAACCGCTCCTGAATCCCCAAACTCTAGTTCTGAACAGTTGCTGCTAGACCCTAAAAGCCCCAACCAATGGGCAAAGGAAGCCGAAAAGGTTTCTACAAACGGCTTTTGGGTAGGAGTTAGGGTTCCTACAATGATAGGGCTTGTATCATAGAAGATAAAGCGAAAATATCTCAGAAGCCCCGGTTGGCCGGTTGGCTTCCAATCATAGATTCATAGATGCAGATGTCGTAGAAAGTTGAAAGCCCTTCCGCCTGTAAGGGGCTTCACACAGAACCCTGAATCTTGCGCCATCAGGCTCTTGTGCTTATGAGTTGCAATTGAAAGCTGAATTCAGACGATTGTGCCCTTTCCCGTCGATAATGATGCATGGTATAATTGGAATACTAGTGTTAATCTCATCCGCCTAACTCTCGAAACTGTTTTTTCAGCCAGTTTCCGCACGACTGCTCTCATTGTCAGTGTAACTGTTTGCTCTAGTTCGGCTGTTTCTTACTATTATTATATTGTCAGCAACAGGATTACTATCATTGTGATTCTTAGTCACTAGTCTACTGTTACCATCCCCTAACCTTTAACCCCGAATCCGAAACCCTAAACTCGATACCCAAACCCTAAGCCCTACACTTGATAGCCAAGCCCGAAACCCTCCTAAACCCTAAATCCTAAACTCCTAAGCCCCTAATCCTAAACCCTTAATCCTAGAATCCTAAACCCCTAATCCTAAACCCTAAATCCAGTTGGTATTGTTTCTGGGCTCCTGCATCCAGGCCGAGCACCAAAGCAGTGCTGAGGCCGCGGATGGATCGGAGCTCAGAGGGGGCCTCTGTGGGGATTTGAGTCTAGGGGCCTTCAGAATGAAAGTAGGGGTTTTGGGGTACGTTTCATTCGAGCTGTAGCGGCCCGTACATTAGCAATCTACTGGGCTTTTAAGGATATATAATAGGCTCGAATATTCACAAACTTTCGTCCGGGGCTTAGGGCTTGAAGGGTTGGCGCTCGTTAGGGCCTTAAGGGTCAGGCCGGGGAGAGTGGAGGTGCTGCATTTTGTTTTGAAGTCGAGGTGTAGGGCGCAGAGTTTTACGTCTCACGGTTCATGGGCTCTGGAGCCTTTCAGGCGTCAAGGCTTCAGCCCTGTCTTGTCCTCCAGTTGCACCAGCAACAACGAAGATAGCCTACTGTACCCTTCTGGCAATCAACAGTGGTAGCCAGAAGAACAGCGACCGACAGGAAGTTCTAAGCCCTAGTCCAAAACAAGCAGCTTCCTAAGAGCCTGAGGCATGAAACCCTGTGCCCGAAGACAGCACCTCCCTTAAACTCTAAAGCGCTACATGGCACAAGCAAACATGCCGCAGTTGACATGTTCATGAGTGTTGCCATCAGTACACCCACTAGTGTCTCATTGTCACTGTTCTTGAGGTTATTCTATTGGCTAGCACGGCGGTTACGACTGGTACTCCTCCTCCTCCTCCCTGCCCTGCTGCTGCTGCTGCTGTTGCTGCTAATTCTAACTACTGCTACTACTACTGCTACTACTGCTACTACTACTGCTACTACTACTGCTGCTCCTCGTGCTCCTCCTGCTGCTGCTCCTGCTCCTGCTCCTGCTCCTGCTGCTGCTCCTGTTGCTCCTGCTGCCACTGCCACTGCCACTGCTACTGCTACGACGATGATGATGGTTTATTTTGCAGGTACTAGTACGATCACAATGTTTGGCCTACTGCGGATACCCACCCGTGGTGTGAGCGAACTCAACTCTTCATCTGAGGCCAGGATGCCAAAAGACTTGGCCAAGAGGCCCGGGCTTTGGGAGTGTAGTCGGCGGATGAATGCGTGTAGTCTGTATCGTCATTCTTGGGGGTTTTCGGGTGGTAGGGTCGAGGACGAGGAGTCAAGGACTGCGTAACTCGACAGGAGCTACAGCTACAAACAAGAGAATCCCCAGTAAGGAACCTTTGCCCGGTTTGACTCCCCTGGCTTTTCGGTCCACTGGGGTGACGGGTGGCGTTCAGCTCCCAAACCCCCTCAACCCTAAGTCCCCGCCATGCTTGCAACAAGCATCTGGTTACCCGAGTAACTCGAAACCCAAGCACCCTACTCCCGAAATTTTCTTGAGACTTCAAGCGGTTGGAGTACTTTCAAGGTGTGGGCTACCCTATGCAGCGGCCTTTTGATGAGGATCCTGCTTTTCAGGATCCCCTATTCTCCGAAGCTCTCAGATGGCATCAAGCTCAGAAGCCTGGTGCTGGTGCTTGCAAGCCTCTCACATTGAGCCTCAAACCTTCAACCCTAAGCACAGAAATCCCCAGGCCCTTACACCATTGACCTTGAACCTTGACCCTCATACCAAACCCCCTGTATCTCTGAACCTCTTTAGTGGCTAAGTTCGTAGCGTTCAAAGCTTGGGGGTCTACATGAAACCCTGTTCAAAGCCCTCCTGAGCGGAAGTTGTTTCTAGAATACGGCTTTTCTTTGGAGGATCCAGGGACAATATCCCGTGCAAAAAGATGATGAAGCCCGTAGAGCCAGATACGGCCCCAGTAGGACCCTGTAAAACTGGACTGCTCTAGCCAGTTCTTCCGAAATCCGGGGCCACAAGAGAGGTTTCGGCTTTTGTCAGGATCCCGCATAATTTAGCGAAGCGGATTCCTTATGGTCCTTCCTTTACGACAAGCCCCATCTACAAAAACGAGGCCAGGAATTGACGGGTTCTGTCCGTATTTGGTGCACTGGAGCAATCCATCGCCATTCACGACCTGCGCGCCCACTCCGGCTGCTTGGGGCGAGCCGTTTCGATGCAGACTGGCGTCCGCCAGGGAAACGTACAAGGGCCCATTCGCTCTTCTTCGCCATGGAGCAGCCAGTCCACAAAGCCCAGGTGTTACTCCTCAAAGCGAATGTCGAGATATGGCGACAGCAGGTGCTCGAGGAAGGGTTGTCGGAGTGGCAGGCGTGCACCAGGACGCGCTGGGAAGGGCTCCGAGCCCTGGACGGCAGACTCCAGGAGCTGTTTACGAAGAAATCACCCGTGCTGGCACGCCTCGTGAGCCGCCCCGCTCCACGCAAGCCCAGCGCGCCACCACCAACATGATGCCGATTTGGCGTATGCCGACGATACGCTTCTACTTGGTTCCCGTTGAGATTGATTCTGCTTTTGCGCTGTGACTTTGGGGTTGACCTGAGCCTTTCAAAACAGAATGGATGATGGTGCCAAGCTGCACATCAAGGCTCGAAGCCTAGCCCTAAACCCTAAACCCCAAACCTGGAGCCCCCCAAAAAACAAACTTAGTGCTCTAAGCTTTACTGTGTATATATATATATATATATACACACACATGTTTATATGTAGACATAGCTATATACATATATATATATATATGTGTGTACAGGTATGTGTTTATGCATGTACATAATACGCACACATAGCAATTTAGTAAAAGATATAGTCATATGTACGTAGGACCTTTAGGTCCTATTTGGCGTAGGGCTTGCTCTGTGTCTTAATATATACTGTGTATATACGCAATTAAAAATTTAAAGAATTTAAAAAATTTAAAGGGAGTAAATCCTTTAAATTCTGAAATCGTCCGGAATTAAAAATTTAAAGAATTTAAAAAATTTAAAGGAGGTAAATCCTTTGAATTCTGAAATCGTCCGGAATTAAAAATTTAAAGAACTTAAAAAATTTAAAGGAGGTAAATCCTTTAAATTCTGAAATCGTCCGGAATTAAAAATTTAAAGAATTTAAAAAATTTAAAGGAGGTAAATCCTTTAAATTCTTTATATTCTGAAATCGTCCGGAATTAAAAATTTAAAGAATTTAAAGAATTTAAAGAATTTTAAAAATTTAAATGTCCAGCTCCAGCTCCAGCCGCAGCCCCCCAGCCTGCGACCCCAGCCCACGGGATTAAATTTTTACATTCTTTAAATTCTTTAAATTCTGAAATCGTCCGGAATTAAAAATTTAAAGAATTTAAAAAATTTAAAGGATGTAAATCCTTTAAATTCTGAAATCGTCCGGAATTAAAAATTTAAAGAATTTTTAAAAAAAAATAAATGTAGTAAATCCTTTAAATTCTGAAATCGTCCGGAATTAAAAATTTAAAGAATTTAAAAAATTTAAAGGAAGTAAATCCTTTAAATTCTTTAAATTCTGAAATCGTCCGGAATTAAAAATTTAAAGAATTTAAAGAATTTAAAGAATTTTAAAAATTTAAATGTCCAGCTCCAGCTCCAGCCCCAGCCCCCCAGCCTTCGACCCCAGCCCACGGAATTAAATTTTTAAAATTCTTTAAATTCTTTAAATTCTGAAATCGTCCGGAATTAAAAATTTAAAGAATTTAAAAAATTTAAAGGAGGTAAATCCTTTAAATTCTGAAATCGTCCGGAATTAAAAATTTAAAGAATTTAAAAAATTTAAAGGAGGTAAATCCTTTAAATTCTTTATATTCTGAAATCGTCCGGAATTAAAAATTTAAAGAATTTAAAGAATTTAAAGAATTTTAAAAATTTAAATGTCCAGCTCCAGCTCCAGCCCCAGCCCCCCAGCCTTCGACCCCAGCCCACGGAATTAAATTTTTAAAATTCTTTAAATTCTTTAAATTCTGAAATCGTCCGGAATTAAAAATTTAAAGAATTTAAAAAAATTAAAGGAGGTAAATCCTTTAAATTCTGAAATCGTCCGGAATTAAAAATTTAAAGAATTTAAAAATTTAAAGGAGGTAAATCCTTTAAATTCTGAAATCGTCCGGAATTAAAAATTTAATGAATTTTAAAAAATTAAAGGGAGTAAATCCTTTAAATTCTTTAAATTTTGAAATCGTCCGGAATTAAAAATTTAAAGAATTTAAAGAATTTCAAGAATTTTAAAAATTTAAATCTTCAGCTCCAGCCCCAGCCCCAGCCCCCCAGCCTCCGACCCCAGCCCCAGCCCCCAGCCTCCGACCCCAGCCCCAGCCCCCAGCCCCAGCCCCAGCCCCACAGCCACCCTCTGCCCCCAACCCAGCCCCAGCCAAGCCCCAAGGCCCCGCCCCACCCAGCCCCCAGCCCCAGGCCCCCCGCCCCCACCCCCCCAGCGCCTGCGCCCAAGGGGGGCGAAAAGGTAGCTGGGCTCGCAGGCCAGGGCGCAGCTGGGGTGGGATGGGGAGGAGTAGGTGGTGGGTGGTGGGTAGTGGGTAGTGGTGGCGGGTGCTGGGTAGTGGTTGGTGTGTGGTGGTGGTGTGTGTGGTGGTGGGTGTGGGTGGTGGGCGTGGCGGGTGAGGGGTGCCGGGTGGTGGATAATAGGTGGTGGGTGGTGGGTGGTGATGGGGTACGAGGCAAGGGGCTGAGATAGGGGGGTGGGTAGTGAGGTATGAAGGGGGCGGGAGGGTGGAGTGGGGGCAAGGGTGTATAATCCCTGCGAGCCGCGACCGAGCAGAAAGCCTGTAAATGCCGCGTTCAAAAAACGGCCAAGGATCCCACACATCTGCGGGCAAAATCTGGCGGAAGTGATCCGCCACCAAGCAAAAAGCCTGTAAATACCGCATTAAACAAAGGGCCAGGGATTTCACATATCTGTTGGCAAAATCTGACAGAAGTACCGATTGCTCACTTCCGCCAGATGTTGCCACCAGATATGTGAAATCCCTGGCCCTTTGTTTAATGCGGTATTTACAGGCTTTTTGCTCGGTGGCGGATCACTTCCGCCAGATTTTGCCCCGCAGATGTGTGGGATCCCTAGCCCTTGAAGTGGTGGGTGAGACACGGCGGTTTGGAGCCTGCTGTCTCTTCCCATCCGCGTTCAAAAAACGGCCAGGGATCCCACACATCTGCGGGCAAAATCTGGCGGAAGTGATCCGCCACCAAGCAAAAAGCCTGTAAATACCGCATTAAACAAAGGGCCAGGGATGTCACATATCTGTTGGCAAAATCTGACAGAAGTACCGATTGCTCACTTCCGCCAGATTTTGCCACCAGATATGTGAAATCCCTGGCCCTTGCTTTTTGCTCGGTGGCGGATCACTTCCGCCAGATTTTGCCCGCAGATGTGTGGGATCCCTAGCCCTTGAAGTGGTGGGTGAGACACGGCGGTTTGGAGCCTGCTGTCTCTTCCCATCCGCGTTCAAAAAACGGCCAGGGATCCCACACATCTGCGGGCAAAATCTGGCGGAAGTGATCCGCCAACAAGCAAAAAGCCTGTAAATACCGCATTAAACAAAGGGCCAGGGATTTCACATATCTGTTGGCAAAATCTGACAGAAGTACCGATTGCTCACTTCCGCCAGATTTTGCCACCAGATATGTGAAATCCCTGGCCCTTTGTTTAATGCGGTATTTACAGGCTTTTTGCTCGGTGGCGGATCACTTCCGCCAGATTTTGCCAGCAGATGTGTGAAATCCCAAGCCGTTGTTTTCATGCGGTAGTTACAGGTGTTTTGCTGGACCACAGGTCACTTCCGCCAGATTTTGCCAGCAGATGTGTGAAATCCCTAGTCCTTGTTTTCACGCGGTATTTACAGGTGTTTTGCTGGACCACAGGTCACTTCCGCCAGGTTTTGCCAGCAGATGTGTGAAATCCCTATAGGCCCTAGCCCTTGTTTTCATGCGGTATTTACAGGTGTTTTGCTGGACCACAGGTCACTTCCGCCATGTTTTGCTGGACCACAGGTCACTTCCGCCAGATTTTGCCAGCAGATGTGTGAAATCCCTAGTCCTTGTCTTCACGCGGTATTTACATGTGTTTTGCTCGAGCACAGGTCACTTCCGCCAGATTTTGCCAGCAGATGTGTGAAATCCCTAGCCCTTGTTATAGCGCGATA